TCAATTGGGGAATGGCTGAACAAATTGTGGTATATAAATGTAATGGAATACTATTGTGCTATAAGAAATGATGAGCAGGCGACTTCAGAAAAACCTGGAAGGACTTGTATGGTCTGATGCTTAGCGAAGTGAGCAGAACCGGGAGAATGTTGTACATAGTAACAGCCACACTGTGCAATGACTGACTTTGATAGACTTAGCCCTTCTCAACAATGCAAGGATCTAAGACATTTCCAAAAGTCTCATGATGGAAAATGCTGCCCACATCCAAAGAAAGAGCTATGGAGTTTCAATGCAGATTGAAGCAGACTATTCGCTTTTTTCTTCTGTTTTGTTTTGCTTCCTCTTTCTTGTGGTTCCTTCTATTGGTTCTAATTCTTACTTACAACTTCACTAATGTGAAAATATGTTTAATAGGAATGTATATGTCAAGCCTATATCAGATTGTGTGCCATCTTGGGGAGGGAGGGGGGGAGAGAAGGGGAGGAAAAATTGAACCTCAAAACCTTATGGAAATGATTATTGATAAATCAAAATAAATTAATAAAAAAAACTACTGGGAAAACTGGAAAAGAGAATGGCAGAAACTAAGCATAGACCAACATCTTACACCCTACACCAAGATAAAGTCAAAATAGGTACATGATTTAGATATAAAGACTGATACTGTAAGCAAACTAGGAGAGCAAGGAAGAGTTTACCTGTCAATCTATGGAGAAGGGAAGAATCTATGACCAAACAAGAGATAGAGAACATTGTGAAAAGCAAAATGGATCATTTTGATTACGTTAAATTGAAAAGTTTTTTCATGGACAAAGCCAACACAACCAAGATTAGAAGGAAGGTAGAAAATTGGGAAAGAATTTTTACAACCAGTGTTTCTGATAAAGGCCTCATTTCTCAGGTATATAGAGAACTGAGTCAAATTTATAAGAATACACATCATTCCTCAAGTGACAAATGGTCATAGGATATGAACAGGCAGTTTCCAGATGAAGAAATTAAAGCTATCCATAAGCATATTAAAAATGCTCTAAATCACTATTGATTAAAGAAATGCAAATCAAAACAACTCTGAGGTACTGCCTCACACCTATCAGATTGGCCAACACGACAAAACAGGAAAATGATCAATGTTGGAGAGGATATGGGAAAATCGGGACACTGATGCATTGTTGGTGGAGTTGTGAACTGATCCAACCATTTTGGAGGGCAATTTGGAACTATGCCCAAAAGACAATCAAACTGTGCATACCCTTTGATCCAGCAATATCTCCACTAGGTCTGTATCGCAAAGAGATTAAAGAAAAGAGGAAAGGAGCTATATGTACAAAAAATATATGTACAAAAAGAACAGCTCTTTTCTGTGGTGGCAAAGAATTGGAAACTGAGGAGATGCCCATTCATTGGGGAATGGCTGAACAAGTTGTGGTATATGAATGTAATGGAATACTATTGTGCTATAAGAAATGATGAACAGGCAGACTTCAGAAAAACCTGGAAAGACTCACATGAACTGATGCTGAGTGAAGTGAGCAGAACCAGGAGAACGTTGCACATGGGAACACCGTTATTGTATGACAATCAACTGTGAAAGACTTAACTATTCTCAGTACTACAATGATCCAAGACAATTCCAAAGGCCCCCTGATGAAAAAAACGTTGTCCACCTTCAGACAATGAACTGATGAAGTATGAACGCAAATCAAAGCATGCTTATTTTAAATTTATTTTTCTTAGGGTTTTTTTGGCCTGTTTTCTTTCACAACATGACTAATACGGAAATATGTTCTGCATTACTGTGCGTATACAACCTATATCAAATTCTTGCCTTCTGGGGCAGCTAGGTGGTACAGTGGATAGAGCACTGGCTCTGGAGTCAGAAGAACCTGAGTTCAAATCCAGCCTCAGACACATAACACCCACTAGCTGTGTGATCCTGGGCGAGTTACTTAACCCCAATTGCCTCACAAAAAAAAAAAAAAGTTTGCCTTCTCGGGGGGGGGTAGGGAAAAAAGAGAATTTGGAACTCAGAAATTTAAAAAATGAATGTTTAAATTCATTTTTACATGTTATTGGGTAAAAAATAAATTAAAAAATGTTAACCCATCAGAAAGAATCAGGCTTTTCTCTTTTTGAAAAACACCACCCTCTATTTAATGCCTGGACCTCCTGGATCCTACATTTACTCTGGCCACCCATCAGTTTGGCTGAAAAAAAAGATCTGGGGGTTTGAGTGGACTGCAAGCTCTCCATGAGATAATGGTACGAGGTGGCAGACAAAATCCCTATTGTGAGTGCCTGTGGTGAGAGATGTGGCTTCCAGGAATAGCTAGGCTATGGACTTCTGTCCTCTGTCCTCCCCATAGCACATCTGTAGTGATCTTCTGATGAAATCACAGGCGAACCTATTGGTGTAAGGCCCTGGGCATGCAAGGATTAAATGAGCATGGTCTCTACCTTTGAGTCTAAAGTCTGCTATGACCAGGTCACCTGCAACAATGCAGAACTCCTGCTGGTCCCAAGGAGGCCCACACTCAGTGGTTTGCTTCCTTGCATGCTTAGATATAAACAGCACATAAGAAGGGTCACCACCAAGGCACTGAGAGTTCTGAGGAGAGTGTATTTAGGGTTAGGGAAGCGGCAGGCACCTGAACAGGACTTACCTGGAGATAGGAGGCAGAGAACCTTACAGATGGCAAGGGCAGACTCGTGGTATGAGATGGGAAAAGGCACTAGATTAGAAGACGGAAGGTCTTGAAGATGGGGCTATGGAGTGTGAGCACTGATGGGCCACCTCACACTTCAGAGTGGAAGAATCACGTGGTTGGGGCTTGGGCTACATGGCCAGGAATGGGCAGGAACCAAGGAGCCAGGGAAGGCTATGTCATTAGTCTAGGAAAAGGGGAATAAGGGTGTTGGGTGAGCATGTGCTCCCATGGAAAGACTAAGCAGGGAACAGAGGGGAAGGATCATGAGGCTAGACAGCCCATATCCAATGAGCAAAGATGCCCAGAGAAAGCCCAGCCATGAAATAAGTACCATCCCATCACTGCTTCTTCTCCACTTTGGGCTGGGATGGATCATGTGGGCGCCAGGGTCAGAGTATATCTGCCGGCTGGGAGCCTGGGCAAAGGAGAAAAGGGTAGAGGGGGGCGAGGGGGGGT